AACCAATCTAATAATAAATCTTATAATATTTTTACAAAATCACAGTTAATTATTATTATATAAAAACCACAGAGCTTAACACCCTCCACAAAGAAAAGCTAACCAAAGTAACCCAAATCCTAACCAATCTAATAATATTTTTGCAAAATCACAGCAAAATCCTAAATTACAGTAGCTAGCGAAACGCGGTTTTCAAATTAAGATTAGGAATAATATTTGCAACAAAATTTGTAACAACATCAAAGTGAGTCAAAGTCGCAGTTTTCGAGATATTAACATATTTTAGTATGGGCGGCTATACGTGCCTCCCGGTGCCAATTTTTTTATGTAAAATAAAAATAAAAAAAATCCGCAGACACTTTTTTGTGTTTTTATGTTTAGAAAAATGTCTAAAACACACCCCGAAGACTAGTTTTGATGTAAGAGATTTCGGCTATACTAAAGTCCGAAAAATGAAAGTGACGCATTTCCGTAGGAAAATTTTGTATATTTGTACTCCTAACGCCTTCTAGAACGCATATATAAAGTCAGTTTTTATATAACAGATTTCAGCTAAACGAAAGTTGAGCTAAAATATATAGTATTCCATTTAAAAATATAAAACTTTGGTTTGAAAATATGTTGAATCACCCTGTATGTTGACAAAATTATTTTCAAAATGTGCGTTGATTGAAAAAAACGGCATGCAGTTGGCTTGGAAATGACGATCGATAACATTCCCCATATAATTTTACAAAATAACAGCGATTTTCATTTCCATTACTGACGTCGTTTTTTTTTCGACCGTATGGTATCTAGGATTGTATATGACTTGGCCTATCTTAATTTTGGTTCGGTTTGGTTGTTGAACTTTTATATTTAATTACTGCCGGGTGCGAAGTGCGAAAGTTTACGCAGATTGTTTGGGCTCAAGCTTCTAAATGCTGCGATTGCTCAAGTTTCTAAATGGTGCAATTGCTTCACCTAAATGCTGCCCCGCTCATCTAAATGCTACAACCGCTCCTGACCCTTTATCTCTGCGCCTGACGTTGTCCGGCTTTTTGTCCGACCATCCGACGCGACGGAGGGGGAACCCGTCTCTGTCACTGTCACTTGCCACCCTTGCCACCTTCCTGTCACCAGCCCAGCAAGCCGCAGGAATTTTCATTTCTTTGATTTATTAAAACAATTGTTATTTCTTATATAAACGTTATAAAACTATTAAAAAATACAGTCCACTATATAACCAGCCCAACACAGATATTTAGTCATAAATATTTTAAATAGTTTTTTTCTTTATTCTTTGTATGTTTTTTGCTTCCGACGACGGAAAGAGATAAACTTTCCGAAACGTTAAGCATTTTTTTGTTTGTTAGGCAAATTTGTATTACTGCTGACAAGTAGTTTCCGTTTGGGTTTAACGCAGAAGTGTTTACAAAAAGTAACTATTTTATTTTGTAGATTTTCTTGCACTGGAGAAATACCCATATAGGATTTTTTGGAGATATTTAGTCAAGTTGCAACAAAACTCCCTGTAAAGAGCTCTATATTTGTTTATGTTCTATATAGAAAAAAAATTTCATGGTTATATATTTTTTTTACTTGATCTTTTTTCATTTATTTGTTTCTCGGTTGTAAAAAAATAACAAAAATACTTATATTCCGGGTGAGTCTTAAATAACTGCAACTATTTTTAGAGGTAGTATATTTCGACCCCAGAAACACATCTATAAAGGATTTTTCGAGAAAAAATTATTTGAAAAGTTGGAATTTTTTTTCCAATAAAAAAGAATTGTCGAATGTCCGAAAAAATGCCCGAATACTCTGAAATAATGTAAGATATTTATTTAATTAAAATTGGTGATTTATTTTATCTTTTATATAAAATAAAATTGAAAAACTGATCAGGCACATTAGTTAAAAAATGGCCAAAATACATTTCATTCTGCATTCTGCTTTTATTAGTCAAATTTTTATCGATATAAACGCCCATTCCTAATACACCGTGGATTGGAGATCGGTCTGAGTCGGATAGGATCGTTTTTCGCTCGGGTGAATGTCGCTTGCACTGTGTGTCAACTTGACTGTGTGCCAAAAAAAGCCATCTCATAAAGGGCGACATAATTCCGGAAAAAGCCGAACCGCTCCGAAATTTTCAAAAGTTTTGGGTCGCGACCGTTGCAAGGATAGCGCCAAATAGTGTTTACATTGTCCTTATGGGCACTTTCCAATCTAAACTTGTTTCATTTATCTATGATGACGTGCGTCAGAAAATGTTTTAAAATTTCAATATGTCTATTTTTGTTTTATAATGTTGGTCCTTTAGTGTGCACATATAGAAAATAAGTGTGTATTCTTAATCTGACTGTCACGTGTAAGTATATTTTTCAAAAAAAATCATCAAAACAGATTTGATCGATTGTTTATCTAGATTATTTATCTCTTTTATATGTAGATGTCACTTTTAAGAAATACATTTAAATTTTAGACCAGAAAACATACTAATATGGTCATAAAATTTATTTTTATTAGGATATTTATTATTTATTGGATATATTCATTGAGGTACTAATTAATTAGAACATTTACAATTATCTCATTGTCTGTTTCTGGTTTATGCTTGAATTCTTCTGCATTCTGGGACTGCAGGAAGCAGGAAAATTCTACAACAAATTCAGCCATGCCATTTCAGTAGGCATTAGTGATTTTGAATATTGATACTGTGCAATAGAGATGAGCAAAAAATCGCAAACTGCGATTTAATCGCAGCGATTGTAAATTCGCAATCGCAACCTGCGATTCATTTCCATAGCAAACTGCGACTTGCGATTGAAACATCTATCTGCCGATTTTGGATTTTTAGGCAACCAATATTACACCAGTTGTGGGCACGCGAACGAAGAGCTGCGAACGAAAATCACAGCATTGCGATTTTCGTTCACATCGGCGGTGTTTCGACAGGCACTGAGCAGGCGAACGAAGAGCTGGGAACGAAAATCGCAGCGCTCGAAAAACATTGCGATTTTCGTTCGCATCGGCCGGCGGCGGCGCGTCATCAACACGGCAGTGGGCAGGCGAAAGAGGAGCTGAACGAAAATCGCAGCCAGGGTTGCGATTGCGATTTTCGTTAGCACCGGCACCGCATCGGGAGTGGGCACGCCAACAAAGAGCGGCGATTTTAAGCATCAATTTTAAGCAACACATCGGCCTAGACTAGATCGCAAAATCATATTCGCAATCAGGGCCCCGTAATTTTTGTGAAGCGTTGGAAAATAGGCTTATGTTTATATACAGCATAATATATATAATTTATTAGTTTTAAATTTTAATAATAAAATAATGATAGCTTTAGATTTATAATATAATTATGGATTGAAAAGGTTAAAAAATTATTGTTTTCGGTTATGACTAATTATAGTTACAGTTGCTCCCAGGCAAAGTCCCAGTTATAATTCAGATTGTTTAGAAATGATTCATAAGGACAGTTTTGGATTCAAATTATAAAAAATTATCTATTTTTATCCTTTATTTACTAGAAGACATAGAGTACGGAAAAGAAACTCTATTAATATGGATACTTTTTCAGCCCCTTTTTATTTATTATATTTTGTTATATATTATGTAAAATCGTTATTTTTGGGGCTTACCCAACCGGGTGTCACAATGCAAATTCACCTCAAATATCCATTTAGTTGGTCATTGGCAAGCACTCTCTCATTGTACATGAAAATAACAAAACAAACATTTACTGATCTGGATAAAATTCATAGTTAAATAGTAAGACTCACCCGGGGGTACTCCGCCCCCTAGCCACTGACATCACTGACATTCTATTCAATATATCCCATTCCATATCTTTCACACCTACAATTATATTATTATAAACATTTTTATAACAATCCATAATATAATATAATTTTCTGAATATTAACTCAGAGTGTGTTAACAGTTGTGGATCGGCTGCTATGTTAATTTAAATACATCCTTTACAATCAGTTTTTTCATTTTAGGGAAATAATAATAAAATGTGATATTGTCCTTTTATTTATCTAAAATTTCGAAAGTTTGCACTTGCACTGGACTGGCCGTATCAAAGCCGTCGGCGTCGGCTTCTTTTGAGTTTAATATAAAGAAAATGTTTTTAAAAGAAAAAAAGATAAAATAAACAGTTTTTTTTCTAGTTATCTGGAAGGCTGGCGGCAACCTTTTTTATAATAAATTTTTCGTTAGTATACCTACAGACTGTCTAAAAGCACATTCGAATATTTTGAACATTTTATGTATTTTTAATTTCCCTTTTAAATTTATTCGGTCTGTTCTAATCAAAAATGTTTAAAAAGAGAAAAGATTTTTTTTTGGTAATTGATGACATTTTTAAGTGCAATATGTGTGCAGCAAAAATATAAAAAACAAGCACTACTTACAAATTTTAAAAGGCACATGGCATAGAAACACCCAACAGTTTCTTTGTAAGTTTTTATTAAAAAAAAAATGATTCCGCTATTTCTTCTGTTTTTTTATTGAAAATTTTCGGTTTGAGCTTCCTAGTTTACCGCGTACCAATTTAAAAATATCAAAATCGCAATCGCAGGTTTCAGTCGCAGTGATTTATAAATCACAATCGCAGTTTCAACTGCGATTGGAAAATCACAGTTTTGCTCATCTCTACTGTGCAATACTAGTATCCAGGATAGTTGTAAATGCCAGAAGGGCCCAGATGACATTGTCAGGAGGGGCCTGGGTGGATTTTATTTGCGTATATTTTTTCATCTTATGTTTTGGACAATTTTTCCTATTGATTTATATTTGGATTATTGTTATTGTGTTTGAAATCAGGGAACTACCTGTAATGTAAAGCAATGCAAATGAAAATATTGTTAAGCCAAAAAAAAGTTTTTATGGTAACCTCAGAATATTACCGTCACTTTTTTCTCTTTCCTTTCTATTTCAATTTCTGTTTTATTCATTCTATTTCAATCACTGTTGGAGTTTTTTATTATTACTTGTGTTCTTTATTTTAGGTTTAAAAATTCACATCAATTAAATGCACACTTGAAACGTCATGGTCCCAAACCAATGCCTAAACTTATGCTTTGCGATTTTTGTGATTTTTCATCATTTTCTAAAATAGGCATGCAGGGTCATAAGATGATCCATGTTACTCTTGCGAAAGGTAAAATTAAAAATTGTTTATTTGAATAAAAATATCAGATCGTTTCTTACTGGATTTATCCGTTTGACCGAAAAAAACGGCGCCTAGTTGGCTTGGAAATGAACATCAATGACATTTCCCATATAATTTTACATATAAAATGACAGCGATTTTCATTACATAGCCATCGCTGATGCCGTTTTTTTTTCGACCATATTGTACTGAGAGCACAGATTATACAAGGTAGGGAATGCAATCCCGCACCAAAATCTCAATCCCGCAAACCCGCGGGATTAATGCAGTCAAATCCGCAAAATTGCGGGACTGTAAACAATAGTCATACATTTGGTCCTAAATGGTACAAAAGGCATTGTACATTTTGCATAGGCCCACAATATATTGATATAGCGTGTATCTTAAACTAGCTGTACAAAAAGTTGGACCGATGTATACAGGGTGTTCAAAAAATATATTTAATATTAAATAAACTTAAATTTTATTATAATTTATCTACTTATTTTATAAATAATAATATTATTCTGATGTTGAAGTTTTTTTTTAACTTACAGATAATTATTTATAATAATTATTATTTATTTTATTATTAACTACTGCTGGGTAAATAATTCTTGACCAAATTTTCACACTCTTATAAAACACCCTGTATACGAGAATTCGCTAAATATATTTTCGAAAACCATATAGCATCTTAATCACAATAGATGCATCTAACACCTGGTCCAAACCGCATCCCAAAATCTTTTTTAGTTCAAAAGATACCTATTCAACTTTAAATTTACCCTAAAATTTTCCTTGTCCCGAGAATTACATATGTCCGGCAGTTTATTTGACGAAATTCTCCATAGGTACTAGTTAAATGCTTTTCTTCACTTACGCACATACGCCAGAAAGAAATCTAACAAGGAACCTGTTTGTTTCACTTTTTAATGGCCAAGCCGCAAGGGGAATCCCCCGGGTTCCGACCATCGACGCATCGGCCCGGAACGAAACGGGTTGACCCTGATCGAGATCGATTCGGTTACGGTTAATTCGGTTAATATGTCCTGTGCCACATCCAAAGCAAACTATTTTTATTAATTTCAAGTAGTATTTTTTCAATATCCTATATTATAATTAATGTTTGAAACCATAAATAATGCTACTCAGACTAGATTTCCCCAGTGGCGTAGGGAATTATAATCAGAGAAATACAATTTCTGCAATAACTAATACTTTCTAAATAACATTTTTTTTTATACATTTTACATGTAAAAAATTGGCGCCGGGAGGCAGGTATAGCCGCCCATTATTACAAATTTTGTTGCAAATATTATTCCTAATCTTAATTTGAAAACCGCGTTTCGCTAGCTACTGTAATTTTGGAGTTACGATTTTTTTAAAATTTTAACCCCCTCCTATACCCCCTTACCAACCCCCCACCCCCACCAAAAACTAATGGCCAGTTTCTCGGGTGCCACAGTATTTTTGTGCCAAATTTGGTTAAAATCGGTTCAGCGGTTTTTGAGTTATCGTGTTACAGACGGACAGACAGACAGACACTGGTACACTGGTGTCTGTCTCTCTGTCTATCTGTCCGTCCGTCTTTCCGTCTGTAACACGATAACTCAAAAACCGGGGGTATGGGAGGGGGTTAAAAATTTAAAAAAATCGTAACTCCAAAATTACAGTAGCTAGCGAAACGCGGTTTTCAAATTAAGATTAGGAATAATATTTGCAGCAAAATTTGTAAAAACATCAAAATCAGTCAAAGTCGCAGTTTTCGAGATATTAACATATTTTAGTATGGGCGGCTATACGTGCCTCCTGGCGCCATTTTTTTTATGGAAAATTAGGATATTCTGATGATTGAAGGTAACAAATATTAAAAATGATATTCATTGAATCCGTAGGCAAGTGTGTTCCGATAGCAGCGGTCGGTACGGTGGAAATCAGAACTTTCTAGCCCTGTATTTCAAGCAGTCTCAATTAGAGTTTATGTTTAATTTCGAATGAGAATAAAATTACAAAAGCACTATAAATTAGATAATAAAATTGCTGAAAAAATATCAACATAAACAGGAGATAAAACATAATTGCGTGGTTTTTGGATACAGTAACACTCAATACAACTCTTTATCAGAACAACATTTAACTTCTCACCTTTATCACGCTAATTTGATAAGAAAAAATGAATTCAGGCAGTTCGACGAAACAAGCGAGTAAACAAAGTGCCCGTTACATAATCAAAAAATTAAATAATATATAGGCGTAATATACTATGAGGCTAAAATATAATTTAATCAGTATCAGTATTAATAGTATCATCATCAGTATTAATTATTAATTATTATTTATTAATTACTTCTTGCCATAAAAAAATTAACACTTGTTGAATGTTAATTTTTTATGGACCTGTTTTAAAATTATACTTACGTACCTTTAAAATTTTTTATTACAATCAAGATAGCCTAAGATAGTTATGTTCCAACTAGCAAAACCGGTGCATAAAACTATGATCGCTACCGTAGTTGAATCAACTGGCGCGGCGTGCTATTACTAATCTAAAAAGTTTTATTAGATTGAGTAATACATTATAATACGCTTTACACCTTCTGAAGATATCAAAATTTTAGGATTTTCACGAATTGCACTTACTAAGGCTAGAATGTAGATATTATATATATTAGTTTGATGATATTGTAAAATAATATTGTACGGTATATTGAAAATTCACCTTACAAATATATCGATAAGAATGCCGCCTTACCAATATATTTGTACTAGACTATTTTCGTCATGTTACCCATTTATCTGAAATACATTGACGAGGCAGTACTGCTTTTAACTGATCCTGCGATTAAATCTTCATTAAAATACAGGGTCCGGCAATAGTGCGTCGGGCATTTGTAGCTCTTAGAATAAAAAACTTGAGAATTTTATTTCAGTGTAAACCCAAGGTATGTACGAGGATGTATTTCAGGAAAATATTTTAACTTCTATAGGGTGGCTCAAAAAGTGTGAGTGGATCGGAATTATTTTTTTTTAATGTAACACCCTGTATATTATTGCATTTTTGGCTTCCTTTCAGATCACTTTACATAATTCTAAGATATGAGTAAACATATTTTGATAGTTTCAGAGATATTAATAAATAAATAAAAAGTTTATATTTTTCAGCCTTTTTTAAAAAAATTATTAATAATACAAGAACTGCTCTGAAATCAAAACTGTATTAGGTATTTACTTTAGATGGTCTGTACTTACTTTGCTATAAATATGGAAATCGTAAATCATACTGGATGTTCAGAATTCTACGCCAAACTTTCTAAAATATAAAATAATTTTTCTTCTTTTTTTTAAATAGTAACCCTGTATATTATTTTTTCATGGAGATGGAGAATTAAAAAATGAACATTTTTTGCATTTAGAGTATTTTAAAAATTTTAACGGTTTTGCAGATATTCGCGGTTTTATATTTCATATGGCATTTTCCACAGTAAATTTTTATCAAAGCCACCCATTGATTTTTCTCATGTATTTTACCATTGTAAGCGCCATATGAAATAATACTGCGTGTATCTGCAAAACTATTAAAAATTTTGAAATACTTTAAATACAAAAAATGTTCATTTTTTAGCTCTCCATCTAATAATAATATACAGGGTGTTCCATTTAAAAAAAACAAAGAAAAAATATTTTATATTTTAGAAAGTTTGGCGTAGAATATTGAACATCCTGTACGATTTACGATTATCATATTTATAGCAAAGTAAGAACAGACCATCTAAAGTAAATAGCTAATATAGTTTTGATTTCAGAACAGTTCTTGTATTTTTAATAATTTTTTTAAAAAGGGCTGAAAAACATATATTTTTGATTTATTTTTTAATATCTCTGAAACTATCGAAATATATTTACTCTTCGGATTATGTAAAGTGATCTGAAAGGAAGCCAAAAATGCAATAATATACAGGGTGTTCCATTTAAAAAAATCATCCAGATCCACTCACTTTTTTGAGCCACCCTATAGAAGTTAAAATATTTTCCTGAAATACATCTTGATACATACTTTAGGTTTGAAGTTATACAAAATTCTCAAGTTATTTATTCTAGGAGCTATAGATGCCCGACGCACTATTGCCGGACCCTGTATATATTTTTTAATATAATTTTACCATTTTCAGATTTGAAATGTACAGAATGCGATTTCACTACACGTCAACCTCAATCTATGAAAAGGCATAAGAAAACACATCAAAAATGGTATACTTTTTTGTTTAGTTCTAGTATAGAGATAGTGGGCGCGTTCAGAGAACACATACAGGTGTTAAATATTATTTAAAAAAATATTACGATGGCCGATTATATTTCTTATGAAACTATTAAATTATTCTACATACGGTTGACTACAAATAAGGATACTGTCAAGTGGATATAAAAATCGCTTACTTTGCTCAGCTTAAATATTTACCGCTGAGAACTTTGCTCAGCGGCTGAGCGTTGCTGTGTATCAGAAAAGACCGTTCAGGGAAGTCGCTCTCTCAGATACTCAGCCGCTGATCATACCTGAACGTGCCCAATTTTGGTTTGTAAATCTTACAGTTTTAAACGGAATACGTATTTAATATTTTTTTCCTAAAATTTAATATCAGCTTATTGATTCATATGTGATATAAAATTTTAAATAACCGTAGGTGTATTATTGACCGTTATACCCTTTGTTTTTTGTTTTTTTTTAATTCTCATAAGCCGTTTTCTTTGTAAAAAATTATTGAGTGGAGTCTAGCGGTTGTAGGTATGAAGATTTAACAACTTAAGTAATGCCCTAGATATCTTGAAATCATCGAAATATATTTTAACTAGATAATTATTTTTTCGAAATTAAATAAATAAAAAGGCAATTTTATCCATATGTAAAGACAAAAATTCATACAATTAATACAAGAAAAAAATACAAATTTGGGAATTTTGGAACCTTCAGATACCTATATATTTCTGGAGGAAAATGAAATACAATAGCAGTTTATGTTTTAGGAAACATTGTGAAAAGTGTTCATTTAAATCTAGAAACCTAAATGCACTAAGGTTGCATATTAAGATGCACTCGATTAAAGAAGAAGATATGAACTTAAAATGCAAGTTCTGCGATTATAAAACGTATAGACATTATAATTTAAAGGTAAAATTGAAGATACCAAATATTTTTTTTTAATAAAGTCATTTTCAGATACATCTTTTGAATCATAAAAAACCAGAAGAAATGGAGATGTTTCATTGTCTTCATTGCAGCTTTAAGGCTAACCGTAAAGACAATTTGAAAACTCATATTTTTAGACATGATATGTTTAAAAATATTAAAAAATGTCCCGTTTGTGGATTTTTAACTAGGTAGAAATAATGTCGTAAATAAGCAAAAACCGTTAGTGTCTGTTGTTTTTTATTTATACATTTAGGTCTCTAAAGGAATTTAAGGCTCATAAGAGAACTCATTCTTCGGATGAAATTGACAAACAAAAAAAGAAAAAACCAAACAAAAAAGTGGACAGATCGACAGAAACGAGCAACAATAAGAAGGATTCAATGTAGAGTGGTTTGAAATATATAATCATAATAAAAATACCGTATGATGGAAAAAAAACTGGCGTCCTGTTGGTGTAAATGACGATCGATGACATTCCCAATATAATTTACCATATGAAATGACAGCGATCTTCATTTCATTTTCATAGCCATCGCTGATGCCGTTTTTTTTTCGATCATATGGTAGTATATTAAATATTAAATTTAATGCCAATTCAATTAATATCAGTGCTCTTAAATATAGTCTCTTATCACCAGGGGTGGATGGGGAAGTAGAAACCGACCCGGGAAAAACAGGCAACCGGCCCATATCCACATAACCATAACGAGGAAACATATTTTATTTATTAATATATAACTTATGGTGTTTTTCGCTCGTGCGAAAAAGCCCTTTTGCCTGTAAATTGTCTTGATCAAAATTTTCATAAAGATCAATATTGGGTCTGACATCTGAATTTTTACTACAAAATGGCTCAGTTTTACATGGTTCTACTGCTCTATTTCTATTATCGATAACGGTAATTTGATCTTGAATAGGCTACGATTTTAAGTGACGGTTTTGAGAAACTTTAAGACTTCCTAATTCATTCAGTTCAGCTGACCCAATCCTCTGTGAAATACATTATTTTTAACTTTTCAGGTATATACTTTCTTATACATTGTAGAAAGAAATTCTCTCTGCTCACAGAAATTCTCGACCGCGGTCGCCATTAAAACTGCTGCATTTTTTAGGTTATTATATAGTTCTTATCACGAACTTTTCCTGTATACTTTTCTACATTTGTATAATAATTCCATGACTCAAACGAAAAAAACCTAGGCAATACCTAGGCAGTGGATATAAATGTGTTCTGATGTAATGCTATGTTACAGTCCAAAATAAAAATATTTGGATTTACGAGACATAATATTTTATTATCTAATCTAGTTTAAACCTTATTTAACTCTTCTCTGCTGTCTCAGTAATTTTTAGTAAATTAATTTTAGCAACATTTTAAACAACAATTTAGACTTGGCTTTTAATTCTCAGACTTGGCTTTTAGTCCGTCCCCAATTCAAACCAAGCATAGAGATATTCATCTTTATGTTTTCTATCAACGGCAGATTTCGCGTCAAATTCGTCTACCTTTTCACAAAGGCTCCAAGAGCTCCAAAAATATTAGACCAAGGCCCCCAGTTGTCAATCTACGCTACCGTATTCTTAGTATACACTTCGAGACTATTTAAATTTACCTAATGCTATTCATTCTTTTTTCTGTTGCCAGTCAGTCATATTTATTAGTTATTAATAAAACAATAGTTTGGTAAAACTATACAGGGTGAGATAAGTGCAAATATTTTCAGGGGTGGTATATTTCGACCCCAGGAACACGTCTATGAGGTTTTTTTGCAAAAAAGATGAAAAAATTGAGCATTTTCTTGCAAATTTTATTGTACATTTTAGAACTTCCTGTTCACCGCAAATTTTCCCACGATATAGTTTCTTAAGGCGATAAACGAGCAATCCGATCGAGCGATCTAGTCGCTTTCGCTCAAATTGTCGAAAGATCTCCAAGTTAGTGCGTCATTTCAATCAAATTGAAAGCAATATTGTGGTTGCCAAGCAATCTTTTGATTTACAGTGCGGAAGGTGAATCGGGTTGCGATTGCCAGCAATTTAAGGAGGTTGTACGAGGATCGCCCAATCAGTGGACGTCGGCAACCGGGTTGCTCAACTATTTTTATTATTTAGTACGTGAACAGGAGAGTGTCGGAAATTCTCGATTAATTTCCAGAACAATTGATTGACAACCAAATTGTTTGAATGTCGCCTTATAAATGGTCTGTTCGAAGCAACCAAATTTTCGAGAAATTTAGAAGCAATTTCATCGCTCATTGGTTGCTATAAAATCGCCCAGTGAATGGGGGCCTTTAATCTCTGATATTGCGGCACTAAAAGAGATGCAAATACCGAAAAATTGAGGTGGCTCAAATTTTTTTAAAAATAAATCTATTTTTTTAAATTTACAAACTTTAATAACTCGATTTTACTTATTTGAAACTAGGTAAAGATAATATATTATGTTTCTTTTATTGAGATCCACCAGCCCTGAAAATATTTGCACTTATAGACTCACCTTGTATAATAAAAATTTTCAGTCCGAACAAACAACAGATGTTTATTAAAATTATAAGTGTCCCAGAGAAAGACATCTTACAATAGTTATTTTATAAATTTGTGTTTATGTTTAAAAGCAACTGACGATTGTACTGATGTAAATTGACTAGTTAGTTATGGAGTCACTAAGAATCTTATCTCACTTTAGTTAGAAGATTAACCATTTAATTTTTGCTAATCCAATCTTTTTTTGAGCTCTGATCGGGACCGGCCCATCGGCCCATCTTCCCACCGGCCCACCGGGAATTTTACCGTTTTCCCATATGGCCCATCCACCCCTGCTTATCACCAAGAATATTAAACAGAGCACTTAGTGTGATATATTTCTAGACATATTCAATACTGTCTTACAAAACATAACAAAGTTGAAACATTCCTGCTCAAAGTGCTCAATTACTTACCTCCGTATTGATTATTTTCATTTCATTCATTTTTCGAGTTTTTATCACATAGTAGGTGGTTATGCATATACTTGGTATTAAATTGTGTGTGTTATACAGGGTGATTCCTGTAAGTCGGTCATGCTTTCGAGGAATGATAGGGGACGTCGAAATATTAATTTTGATATAGCACACTATGGGTCGGAAATGCCTCTTACGCAAGATATGTGTTAAAATTTTTGAAAAATTAAAGATATTCTTTAATAGTTTTTTAACAGTTGAAGGTATCGTTATAAAATTTAATTATAGGAGTCTGTCTAACAGAGACACTTTAAATGTAAAAAGAAGAGGTTTTAGTTTCAACCAGTGGCGTAGCTGTGATACGCATCTGGTACTAGTTTCAAAAAAAATAGTACGCCACTGATAAAAATAAAAATTTCGGAGGTTTTTTTATTTACTCGGTTTATTTCCAAGAAAAAATGTCTCTTGCAACTTTCTTCTATCTAACACCATTCTGTCAAAATTTAAAAATAAATATTTTTTCATGAGAACCTTAAATATGCGAATTATTATAACTACCTTAATTATTAACAATAAAAAAAAATCTAGTTTAAATTTATAATTTTGTAAAAATTTATTTAGAGCTAATAGTAAAAAGTACTAAAGTTACCCAAGATGAAGGGAGCTAACGATGCACATGTGTTTCTGCCCTCTAGTTATAATAATTCGCTGTATTTAAGATTCTCATTAAAAAATTTATTTACTTTTAAATTGTGACAAAATGGTGTTAGATAGGAGAAAGTTGCAAGAGACATTTTTTCTTGGAAATAAACCGAGTAAATAAAAAAACTCCGAAATTTTTATTTTTATCAGTGGCGTATTTTTTTTTGAAAAATTACCCGATGCATATCACATCTACGCCACTGGTTGAAACTAAAACCTCTTCTTTGTACATTTAAAGTGTCTCTGTTAGGTAAATTCCTATAATGAAATTTTATAACGATACATTCAACTGTTAAAAAAGTATTATAGAATATCTTTAATTTTTCAAACACCCTGTAGCTTGCGTAAGAGGCATTTCCGACCCATAGTGTGCTATATCAAAATTAATATTTCGACGTCCCCTATCATTCATCGAAAGCATGACCGACTTACAGGAATCACCCTGTATATTTCGTACATATGTATAGTGTATAACCTATGTATTATGGTGGTGGTTGTACAGTGTGTCCAAATTATTGCTGTCTTTGCTGGATATCTCTGTTGTTTAAGTTAATACTATTTAGTCTAAGGCCTCTGGACCTCTTGCTTCATAGGCTGAACGTTTTCGCGCAGCGCTATGAAGACTTATTCGATTTATATTCACTACTAGTATTTAAATACTAGACTAACTAAAAATATAGGAACTTCTTTTAATGCGCAGTAGTGAACGCAACGTCTATCGGCAGCCAGAAGGCCTGCATATTTTGATTCCATTAAAATATTACTTTATTATCATTATTATTTAAAATCTTGTAATAATTAAATAATTTAATAAAACAAATAAATTTAGACCAATTTGATCAATACACCACTGAGAACTACAAACACTGATGCTGAAACGTTTGAGTAATGACGATTAATAGCAAATATCTGACAACGTCACTGGATTCTCTGTATCTGTATAAGAACCACTTTTTAGCTATTTGTTAAATTGACAAATACGGACTTTGATATCCGAGATACGAGGGGACGTGGGAATGCAATATTTTCAGTTTCACCCTGTATTTCATAAACGAAACAGAGTATGACAATTTTAATTACAGGATCGTAGATTTTACCAAAAAGTAGCTAACGTTTACAAAGACCGTAATCCATCTACGACAACAGAAATATCCAGCAAAGAGTGCGAAAACGAGACACACTGTATGTACAATAATTATAGGATCCATTTACCTGAAGTGTCCACCTAAAAATATAATTTTAAGGGTGTAAAGAGTATTTTAAAGGTACATAATTTTCTATGTATGAGCCCTGACATATTTAACTGTTTAAATTCCAGCTTTTTATATGAATATATTAGATACAACTACCTATTTATATTTTAATATGAGCTATTTTTACAAATCTATATTTTATGGGGATTTATTTTAGTTATTATATTTAAGGTTATTAAATTACCATTTTATACATCACTACCATTGTTATCTATGAATTGTTTACTTTTTGATATATTAAAATAAAATACATATTTTAAATGACATGTTTAATTATTTTATTGACTGCTCATTAAAAAAGCAAGTAGGAATAGTAGTATATAAAGGAATCGAAAATTATTATTTTATTTAAAATAATTTAAATATTTATTTTAATTAATCAATTGAAAAAGCTAAAATAAACGTATTTATTTCATAAGTCTTTATAACCTTGAATCTCTTAATCATCATTGATCTATCATCATCTCTAATCAAAATTAACCTTTTGTAGTTTTTAACCGTGTAGTTTTTAACCGTTATGTAGAGAAAATGCATAATTCTAAAGTGACAATATGACAACGTGGAAATTATTTCCATCTCTCATCTCAATTATCAAACTACTTAAACAAAAAAACTGTTTCACAACTACAAAATTAATTTGTGATATCAGTTATAGGATAACATTTTATTTTTTTGAAATCAGCATTCAAATTTAAGAGAAAATTGATATTGAAGAGATACATTTTTGTTGTTTTTTTAATAAAAATTAAATTAAACTAATATACCTTTTATTTTTAGTAAACATAAATTTATTACATAAAACAGATAATATACATCATAAAATATATTGGAATAATAATACAATAAGTGGTTACAACTGTTACAAGTAAAGATCTTATAACATAAAATAACTTTACTAAGCCTTTGAGACTTAATGAAATGCAATAAAATAATAAGACAATAATAAATAAAAATGTGCATATAATATCAATACTTTACATGGTATGTCCGCCCACAGCAAAGATCAAGGAGATTTGTTCATATGTAGAATTAAATAAGTTTAACATGGCTTAACATGGTTTTATTACTGTGTTAAAAACAAAATAAAGCACTAATTCATCACAATACACCAAAACACATTACTGGGACATTTACGGGACGCGCGTTTGGCTAATCATTCAGTTTTAATGATCAGCAAATGATGCTAACATGGTTAGCGAAACGCTCGTCCAGAGTTAAAAGTAAAGTGATTTGGTGTATTATTGTGGCGAATTTGTGTTTTATTTTGAGATTATAGAGTAGTTTTACAAAAAAAATATTTATCTCTGAACAGTTCTATTTTGATAGGTAAAAAATATTTGGTTATGTAGTATTATAAGTAATATATGGGGGGGGGCTTCCAATTTGACTCTCAGCTGTAAAAATTTAGTAAAAAATACCAATGATGAAACTCCCGGTATATAAAAGATATTACTTCTTATTATATAGACTCGACATATTCATGTTAAGCATTATTAATTATAATTTCACCATATTTCATAGTTCTAAACCAAGATTACTATATTAAACAGGCTGCCTCGTAACTTTTGGACCATTAGGAGCGGCAACTACGTCACAGGTATGCTACAGAACGTATAAAATCATAGATAAAGGAATAAAAAATAAAATGCAACGGACAAAGATAAATTGGCATTATGGGCAATGTAATAAAGAAAACAAACATCAAACAACTGAAAACTATGGACGCCATACACAATAAATATCGATTCGGAAATGCACTGTCCCAAGTTTTTATCCCTTTATCTATTAGCGGCAACATACCTGTGTCGTAGTAGATGACGTTCCGATAATGGTAGATCGAGTTACAAGACAGCCTTATCTTTTAATAACCTTGGCTCTAAACAATCTAAATAATACATCATCAATACAATTAATGTTTTAATTATAATTATTTTAAAAATACTTTATCCATAATTTACAAAACTGTTTATGAATTAAAGAAATAATTATATATTTAGTAGGCATATCAGTATCTCTCCCAATCTGAAAATGTTTCATATCTTTAAATTAAAATATCAAAAAACGACTGACAATTTTTTTAAATTAATTAAAACTATCAGACGTACAATTCCTAAATTTTGGTATCCCTAGAATCAAAATAACGGATTTTGACTATTAATCCGCTAAACAAAATTCATATTATATCTGTAATAACTATGCCTGACAAAAAACAACAGTTTTTTTAGTTCAATCAACTAATATTTTATCAATATTCGCTAGTTGACAATCACAGTTTGTTTAATTAATTTTTATGTACGCTTTCATCATTTGTAACCTAAAATACTGGACTTTTAATACTGACTCCAACATATATTAAGAGATAATTTTTAATATTTCGTATTGCTAAAAGTGGTATATTTTTTAATTCCTGTAAAAAACTAGTTTTAAAAGCAAAGGTCAAAAAAAAAAAATATACCTACAAAGTGTATTTTAGGTTACATAATATGTTAAGTCAATTCTTCATATTGTGTCTAAAGTTCTGTCTATAAGCTGATGCTTAAACAGTAACTCTCTAAAAGCATCATTATTGTATATTGCTGAATTATAATTTCTCTGAAATGGAGCGACATTAATCCCTACGAATTCAATATTCGGAAAATTAGTTCCAATTCTATTACACTGTCACCCAAATTGTTGGTTGTTATTTTATGTAAAACTGGTATTAGTTCGTTATCAAGACTTCTCATATAAATAGGTGCTAATTTTGACCCATTTGATCCAGCTAAATATGAAACCTAAAAATACATAATTTAATAAAATTTAAATAGGAACATATAAAACAAAAAACTACAAAATATATTTCAAGTTGTATACATGTCGATAACAAAAAGTGAAATTCGTGAATTTCTGAAATGCCTAGCCAATTCCCGTATTACCAAGAGCGTAAGTCTTCAATTGGTACATGGTTTGACTGTGAATCTTAGTCATTCCCTGTAATGACGGAATATTTCAATGCAAAAAACATTAGGTTACCTTACAGAGCTTTCAGATGAAGCGGAGCGACCGCGCCGACGGACCGCACCGACCGTCCGGTCGCTCCGCTCCATCTGAATGCTCCGCTCCATCCGCTATCTTAAAAAAAACACGACGGACGCGTCCGTACAAAATAATAGCCGTCGGACAAAATCATCCGGACGGAGCATACGCGTCCCATATGAAATTGTTCAATACTCATGGTACTTGCTCGAAGTCGCGGACGGTCCATCTGAAAGCGCTGTTATTTGCCAGGTTTTAAGATAGCCTTTTAGTATATCAAAATCAAAGTAAGGTTTTCCGTAATTACCATATGATAAAAAAATACATCGACTTTCTTAACAGGTCAGTAGCAATAAATACATTCATTGATTAAAACAGAAAAACAGGGTAACAAACGATTCAAATAATTATGACATTTCACTGAAATTTCGGCCATTACAGGGAATACCTGACATCCACAGTCAAACGATGTACCAGTTGAAGAGCTACGCAGTTTGCCGGCAATACATGAAACGACTAGAGCATTCAGGGTGTGACGAAGTCCGGCTCTGTTTTTTTTTTAATATTTAATATATTCATCGTTACAATATTGATAAGCTTTCAAACTTAACAGTGATGTGGGTTGAATACGGAAAATCAAATGCAATAAAATAATTAAAATATAATATAAACAATCAAATCATTTCCACGGAAGATAGATTGGAAATGGTACCGTCTGATGACGTCAAGTAATTCGACAGGTCCAAATTTTACAAAAAAGTGAAATCAGCACATCCCGGCAGTTACAATAAAGAGTACAAAATGCATTCGAAAGTATAAGAAGATCTATTCAAAAGCTATAAATAAAATTGAACGAAAAATAAATTTGTGCAATAGAGAGGGTGGTAACCCTTTCGAACATGTAGATTATGTAGAGCATTAGAAACTAGTTTGTAGAAGTTAATTTATTCATAATAACTACGATTAATATTATGCAAATTATTAGATTGTACACTGAGAATTTCAAATTCACAATAAGAAAAGTTAAAAATAATATCTTTAACTTGCTGATCTGGATATTATTTATTTGAATCTTTCAATTGGCTTATTTTTTCTTATTCAATGTTAATTAACACTGATCAATATTGTTGCAATGAGTATAATCAAATTAAATAATTTAAAAAACAGAGTCGTACTTGAGTTTTGTTTAAATAATAATTAAATAGTTTTGTTGCTGTTAAGGTACCCAAAACAAAAAAAGTATAAAGTGTGGCATATCATTGTACTCAGGAGACTGAGTTCTTTCAAAATCTGAAATAAAAAATGCAGGTCCGTATTTAAAAAAATTAAGTTGTCCTCTGTATCTTACAAATTATCAGCTAATTTGAAAATATAAAAATACTCTCAGATAGCCCTAATAAAGTGGCTATGAGAATGTGCAATTAGTTTTTTGGTTTTCTAAAAAGTAACGACAGAAAAAAATAAAATTAGTTTTCAAAAAAATCCGTTTTTTCAAAAAAACTCAGTAATTCTTGAAATTTTTAAAACTTTTTTGATGGCATCTTGGTGAACGGCCCAAGGCGCAACTTTGCCCCAATTTAACCATCTTCGTATCTGTTACGGTTTCCGAGATACCAATGCTCGTACCTCGAATTTGTAGCACCCTGTATATGGTTAGTTGATTAGTTATATATTAATAGCGTATGATCGAAATAAAACGGCGTCCGGTTGGCTGGGAAATGATGATCGATGACATTTCCCATATAAATTTACAGCGATCTTCATTTCATAGCCATCGCTGATCGCTGACGCCGTTTTTTTTTCGATCATACGTTATATCTGAAAATGCGTAATATAGTTTAAATACAGACTGAATTGCAGCGTCTACCACAAGTCACATTTGACCCGGTATTAAAAAACGGTATACAAATATATACAAATATTATGATTATTAGTAGGTAAGGAACAGTAAAGAGAAAAGAAGGATTCATAAAAAACCACAATTACATATTTCTGCAATAACTGAAATATGCAATAAGGTGAGAACTTCACAAATAACACAAAAAACGAATATCACTAAGGACACCAAAAACAAAATAAAGTCGTAATAATAACTGATTTTTAACTCAGTAAAAAATAAATTTAATAGTTTTTGCCATTTTTCTGAGAAACTATTATATCTTTTGGGAGAGCTGTGGTTATAATAATTACATTTCCTTAAAACCTTCAAGATACATAGATTAAAAATTAATATAGATATCTAAAGATAAAAGCTTCTTAATGCTTTCTACAGCTATTCAAAACTTACATGAATCTACTTACATTCTCAACGTGTAAAGTAGCTCTAATTCCAATTTTTTGGCAACTGTTTGACACCAATAGATCTAAATATTTAAGGAGAGCGTTACAACAAGCCTTAGCAATTGACTCTGAAATTTTGGATATATCTACAGGATCTTGACTTTTGGAGTTTTCTTCTCCATTCTAAAAATAAACGGTTGATATACAGGGTGTCCCAGGCTGAGCGTGCATTAGAAGTTTCAAGAGAACTACAATATCTAGATCGGAGATTTTTTGTACATCGCTGTTTCACAACGAGATCTATCGATTAAAAATATTTTCAATATAGCGGCATTTCCGGAAGTACCGGAAGTTGACAGCAACTTTCTTATTTTAAATCGGTACCCCGATTTTTTATTACATACTTAAATTCTCTGTAAAATTTTATGAATTTTGATATCAAACACTCCATACCTAACATTAACCGTTTTTGAGAAAAAAAAATATTAAAAATTTTTGGAGGAAAAAAACTGCCAGTGTAAAATTTTTTTATAGCCTAAACAACAAATTTAGTGATTGTCAAAGCCACTGTGGCATAAAGAGAAGACTATTTCAAAAATTAAATTGTTCGAATGTCATATAATATTGGCCGTAGCTGTCATGGAATTGAGCGATTAAAAAATTATCATAAATCATTTTTTTCAAATAGAAACACACTTTATTTACTTCACTAGTGAAAAGGTTTTTTAATTCGTTACTTTTTGATTATACATGTTCCTATACCTAAAATATCTCGTTTTTAAGTTATTTAAGATTTAGTTTTAAAGGGTATATTTTTCGTTTCTTAACCAGTAGCTTATGACTTTAAACGTCAAGTGATGCTAGAAAAAAATACGCTTTAAAACTAAATCTTAAATAACTTAAAAATGAGTTATTGGTATAGGAACATGTATTATCAAAAAGTAACGAATTAAAAAACCTTTTCAGTAGCGAAATAAAAAAAGTGGGTTTCCATTTGAAAAAAATTATTTATGATAATTTTTTAATCGCTAAATTCCATGACAGCTACGGCCAATATTATATGACATTCGAACAATTTAATATTTGAAATAGATAGCCACATCTCTTCTCTTTATGCCACAGTGGCTGTGACAACCACTGAATTTGTTGTTTAGGCTATAAATCATTTTTTACAGGCAGTTTTTTTGCTCCAAAAATTTTAAATATTTTTTTTTCTCAAAAACAGTTAATATTAGGTATATAGCGTTTAATATCAAAATTCATAAAATTTTACAGAGAATTTAACTATGCAATAAAAAATGGGGGTACTCATTTAAAATAAAAAAGTTGCTGTCAACTTCCGGTATTTCCGGAAGTGCCGCCATATTGAAAATATTTTTAATCGATAGATCTCGTTCTGAGACAGTAATGTGCAAAAAGTCTCCGATCTAGATATTTTAGTTCTCTAGAAACTTCTAATGCACGCTCAGCCTGGGACACCCTGTATACGTTCTTGTGTTGTATTGTATGATAAAAATATTGACCAAAGGGAAATACTCTGTTGTACACTTATTGGCTATTTAATTATACAATAATTATACTTGTACATCTTGGACTTAATTACAAATGGGCTTTTAATTTAAAGGAACTAAACAAATAATTAAACATTAAATAAAAAGCCATTGTATAATGAACATCATTGTAATCCGAAAAGATAATATTTATAGATTTTATAATCTATTAAAATTACCTGTAAAATAAAAACTTCCGTCCATCTTATAAGCTTTGATCCATTATTACAGAAATAATCTTTTCCATTGTGAACTCTAATTGAAGGCACACCTTGCATGTCTGCAAGATCCACAGGAGATTTAACACTAAAAAATAGGATATATGTACATCTGGTTAACTATTTAAAAATATTTTATTACCCAACATTAAAATTGGTATCGTTTTCTCCCCAAATAATATTAACCGACTCGTCGGATGTGACATTAACACACCCGCACGCTATAGTATGATCTTTTAAATTCCTTAAATCTTCTCTAATTTTTTCCATATGTTCTGACGTTATTTGGATCATCAATCCGTCTTCAACTATCGTTGATTTGGCCGTTAAACCGCTGCTGGATTTTAATGATCCATTAAATACGATGAAACTTGCTCCAGTAACTATACCAAAATAAGCTTAATAATAGTAATATTTAAAAAATAAATAAGTTCGATTTTTAATTATCATTATTTCAGCACTATTAGGATATCATATACCAGCCCTGTCACTTCATCTGCGTGGTCTGTGTTTTATGCATGCGACAGAGATAAATATAAATGACCAGTTGACAGACAGAGAGACAAAATAAAAAGCGGTGTACAGTGTTGGCCGGTTTATACGTGTGTAGAAAAAAAAATAAATTATTTTAAAAACTTCTATGTATACTACTGAAATGAAGATAATATATCTAAGCTAAATATGATCTATTACAGCTGTAGTAAAATGAGTAACTAATAATTGTGAAAAATAAAGTTCCAACCCTAGATGCAACATTTTTCGTAAACGCCTACTTGTGCGGTTTAAAATTTTGATGCATCAATTGCAATGTATCAACCCAACATTTATCTCTTTTGAATAGATTTGATTCTCCATTAAGCTGTCTACATCACAGTCTTACACGTTAAAATCCAAACCACGCAGTTTCGATGACCAGATCGGTATGTAACGAAATTTATAACTTTTATAGACATTTTCTACAATATTCTCGTTCAAAAGGTTCTGGTAAAAAATAATGTATTTTCTACTAAAACGTATTTAAAAAATTTCGAAATAATGATAAAGTAAAAATAAAATCTTGTATGCATTGTAGGCGTTAATGGACGATAATAATGCCAATGGTAACCTTGCTTGCCTGGGGTAGCATAGCTTACATATTATGAAAATGCAAAATAAGTTTGTACGAATTTCATCTGGTATGTATTTAAATCCGCTCGTTTTGATAGGTAAAGAACACATACTGCCTATGACGTACCTCCCTGTGACGTCACGGAGACGGTTAAAGTACGGTTACGCACGTAATGCGCCGATTTAAATACCCATGACGAATGACTTTGTTTAATAAAGAAACTGACAAAAATTGGGATTCAGAATTATTAAATAGTCATTCAATATACAACTTCTAAAGCAAATTCTGGCATTATTATCTTTCTCACACCTTTATTGCATAAATTACTATTACTTACGTATTCTAGGTTTATTATGAATATTTATTGCATGAGTAGAATAGGAATTTTCGTGACCTTGGGTATTTTGAATACAAACTAGATGTGAGTCGGCTTCGGGACTGAAATTTCCCCCAAAAGCGAGTATATACTCACTTGAATTATTAATTGATTTTATTACCTGTAACAAAAATCGTTTTAAGAAATTATAAATGTATATATAGTTCATACCAAATAAACTTTTAGTCACGTGATTAAGCTTGCCGGCACAGCGTTGCCCACTTTTACATATTTTCTTTTAATCAAAATATTTTAGGAAACAAAAATAAAAAAAATATAAATATATAAATAGTTATTATTTACATAAAAAAAGTCACCTCCTTAACAGCACTTAAAGGACATAAAGAGCCTTTACTACCGTTTTCCTATTAAGCTTCTTGTACACTTTGCACTAAAAGAGGTTCTAAAAAGAACAATGTTCGACTGCAAGGTCTGTTAGTAAACATTTTTAAGCTTAAGGTATCACAACACTATTTATTTAAACCAAAATGTCGTTATACAAAATTAAAGTGTCAAAACGAACAACAATAGAGGACAACGGCACAGACTGCAAACACGTAAACATTTACGTACACATGCGCATTTCTTATATTTTTACATGTATACGATTCTTTACGTCCACGTATATATACGTGTCAGCAGCGGCCGACTCGGCCGTAGGCCGTTGTCCTCTAATGTCAGGAGATAAATAAATAAATGTGGCAACTTGACATTTTTTACAGCAGAGTTACCACCTAAATCCCCAGCGCGAAATTTAAATTCCAGTAAGTCAGCCCGGCGCGGAATATGTCCATGTCAAGGTTTACAATTAGTGTTCTATTTTACTGATGTAACACCAAAGGTTCCAACCCCCAACTGTAATAGAAGTAAACAATAATATCCTGAATAATGACTATCAATAAATGTTTCAGCCGTAGCAGTATTTAATATCTATTTGTATGAAAAAAATAATAACCATCACATATTTCCCGTATTTATAGTTCAATCCCTAAATTCTTGTAACATAAATAATTACGGAGCTAAATTTATCCTAATATATAGAGATTTTTAAATTTACTTACTTGATCGTACCGATTTTTAGGAATAGTTATAGTGGTTTTTTTATCCTCCATATGAATTGTCAGACCTCTTATTTGAGGTAATGTATAAGTAAAATTTCTAAAATCCTAAAAAAAAGGTCAATGATAAATGGCAACATAGTCAATATTCATGGATCGAGAATTTTTACTTACTGCCAGAAGATTAATAATTGTATGGCCTATTTCGACAAAGACGCTTTCTCGATATCTCGTTGAAATAATTGGACTTGGATAGTACCTATATTCAGCTCCCAATCTTAAAATCAATCTTAAAGGAAATAGTTTCGCCCAAGGAGTTTCCCATCTAAAAAATGTTTAAGATGTAACATAAGTTACATGTATAAACTGTATAAACAGTATTAAATATAATATAACAATGGTAATTAAAAAGTTAATGATCAAACTTAATGAAACAACAAAAATATAATTAGTTAACTTTAAACGCATTTTATAATTGATATTGGTTTATTACTCATAACATATATTATATCGTGCTGGGCAACTCTTACTTTTGGGTCGGTATTTACATGTGTGGAAGTGAATCGCTTAGGGATCTTATTAAGTCGTAGTGAGAAAAATGCGACGATGTGCTGTTGCGGCGTTGCTACATTCTCAGTGATATAGTATGCCTTTCCCTGTCTAGTGTAGTAAAATGACGGTCGAAAGGCGCTTATTTTTTTTTTCGGAAAGATAACTACATAAAATCATTATATATATATGTTTCTGGACATCTGAAATCGAGTTATAGAATATCGTTAGGGTGATCATTCCCTTTATAATGAAAAAACGTCAGTAATCGTGGTAATTTGAAAACTCAACTTCTTAACATATAACACGCGATAACTCAAAAACTACTTTGACTATTGAAACTTTCTTTTTTTTTATTTTGAAGTTTGGATCTTTGACAAGATGTCTAAATGAGAAAAATTCGACAGGTTTGTTTCTATACCATTCAAAGAATTTAAACACGCGTCCATTTACTTATAGTGCATAGCAATTAATTGTGTAACTTTTTATTTGTAAATATTTTCATATACTGTCTCCGAGGAAAATATAGCAGAAACGTTAAAAAAGTTTAAAAAAAAAACTACAATCAATTATTTCTACTGGATTTCGAGATATTGATTTTTGAATTCTAATACACTAGCACCAACTCAGTTCGACTTATTTTTACCAAAAGTGGTAAACGTTTGAGCATTTTAGAATCGTTGTTTAATTTTCAAAACTTGTATTTAAAAATTTATAAGTTATAAGGAAAATACAACGATTCGTTCGTTATTAAATAAACGAAGTTTAACGAGACGTAATTAAATAGTAAAGCTGAATGCATGAAGTATACTCTTCCCTAGAATTCCAAGTACTGAATCTCAATTCGTAAAATTTATCAATTTATGCGGTAGACCGCGACGAAACTTATCCTCTTCCACGTCTTTTAGCAATGTGCATAGTTACTTATTTACTACTTATTACTTACTTACGGTTTATTTCATATGTTTGGCACCATTTTTACTGTTCTCTCTTTGTTCAGCACATTATAAATGCATTATACTCTTCTTACATATAAAAATCTCGACCCAAACATAAATCTTGCCAGCAGAAATATAATTACATACTAATGAAAAAATGTTACACAATAATCTCACTGCATTTCAAGTCCTGACACAATGTTTTTACAGATTTACACACTTTGTATATAGCCAAATATAAAATAAATAACAGAAACTCAAATTACTATGATTCTTTATAGTTTTGGAACTATTCTGTAATACTAAATTAGCCAATTAGGTTACAATGAGTAACCTAATATTTTTTCAAGAAAATTAATTCAGAATTTGTTTAGCTGCACTCTTCAACCATACATGTTTTTATAAAGTGGTACTTTAAAAAATTATAAATTAACACCTGTGAATTAAAATTCCTATGAGAAATGATTCCTTTGGTTTAATGACATTATCTAAACATTGAAAAGAAGGTTTGATATAAACAAACCCTGCATGGTTTTTAGAGTCTAGAAATGTTGATGTCCTATGCAGAGATAGTCCAAGTTCTTTTATGGAACTACCTAAAAAATAGAGTTACTGAATACTGCCATTAATTATTCAATGGTAATGTATGCCTTTTTCAGCTTCACTATAAACACTGTAAATATGAAAAAATAAATCTTTAGGAATGAAACTTTCATCTTCAATATATTCTAGTAAATACACTATTTCATCAGATCCAACATTTATAAGTCCTTCGGTACAGAAACACCATGCCTGCTTACTTATACAGCAACTCACTGAAATTAAAAAGAAAAGTTTAGATATGCATTAATTAATATGAATCGATATATTCACTTACTATTTATTATTTTAACATGTACAAAGAGATTCTGATTTATAGCAAATGTTAACGACTCGTTTTTTAACATCTCAACTACACTTGGCGAATTTGAACATTCTGAATATAAAACGTCTGAAATTAAATAAAGAATTACACAAACTTGTATGGGCATGCAATAAATAGTTCAAGAAAATAGACCATCAAATAGGAAGTTTTGGTAAAAACTTGAATTTTTGATATAAGTTACTTTGAAAGGTCTAAAAATGAATTGTGAATGATTTTCTTAAATTCACCCCCCATAGGGGGTGATATAAATAAAATTATTTTTTTCGAAATTTCGGAGAAACGGTGAAGACTAGAAAAAAAGACTCAAATAAAAGAGAGAGTATCCAATTTTACATAAATGGTCCCTATACTTTTTTTGGTAAAAGTCAAAATTAACAGAGATAGGGTGGCTAGAAGTTAGAGGATAGCTTTTATTGAAACATTTTTTTCAAAGTTCTTATACCGTTTCTATAAAATTTGGAAAAAACACTTTATTTATAATATTTTACCCCTTCTCGGAGTGAATTTAAAAAAAATTCTTAATTGAAATTTACAATTTTCCAAGCAAATTGAATAAAAATGTTAAATAATATATGAATTTTTCAGCAACTTATATTTTTTTTTAAATTTCTACTATCATCCCCTAACTTCTAGCCACTCTACCTCAGTTAATTTTGATCCGGGCAAAAAAAATATAGAGATCATTTCTATGTGAAATTTGATGCTCCAGAACTTTTATTTGGACTTTTTTTTTCTAGGTCTTACCGTTCCTCCAAAATTTCGAAAAAATAATTTTATTTATTTATTTCACTCCCTTCTCTGGTGAATTTAAAAAAAAATCTTTCACAATTCGTTTTTGGATCTTTCAAAGTATTATTATTAATTATATCAAAAATTCAAGTTTCTACCAAAAATTCTTATTTGAAGGCCTATTTTCTTGGACTAGAATAGATCAGCAAAACTTTGTTTACATCGTTTAAAAATATATACTTATTCATTAACAATCTTTTTTCCAAAAAAATCCTTTATGGGTATTTCGCTACTGCACTGAAAGAAACAGTTATACAAATTTGCCTAACAAAGAAAAAAATGCTTAACGTTTCGGAAAGTTTATCTCTTTCCGTCGTCGAAAGCAAAAAAAAACAAGAAAAAAGAAAGAAAAAATAAAAAATTAAAAAAAAATTAAAAAAAAGACGAAAAGAAATAAACTTTCCGAAACGTTAAGCATTTTTTTCTTTGTTAGGCTAATTTGTATAACTGTAAACATAACTTCTGACAAGCAGTGTCCGTTTAGGTTTAACCTTTGAATAAGAAGACTAAGGAAGGAGCATATCAAAAATCTTAGGTACACCGCGATGGGCCTCAAATATGGCCGATTTAAATTCCGGTTTATCAGTGTCGTTCTAATTTTATTTAAAAAATGTAAAACTATGATGTAGGGTAGACGTGGGGTAGACTCAATAATTTGTTGTTTTATTTTACGTTGTGAATAAATGTTGGTAGTTATTAAAATTGTTATAAAAATATATAATTCTAATAAAAATAGATAAGTGATAATAAGTATATATTACCACAAACATCCGATACGCTACTGAAGCAGGTAAGTCAAATTAACGTATCTAAATTCTTTGACATCTAATCTTTGACAAGTAATAAATAAAAGTAAAAATGCAAGAAAAAATATATAATTAGTTAATTTAAGTGAATTTCATAAATGATCGGTTTACTACACGTATATATATTATATAGTCACTTACTAGCGAAAAGTTGTTCCATTATTTCACTCGATTTTTGCCGAGATCTATGGCACGCTACACAACCAACTATTTTAAGCTTGTTTCATATAGACGCGAATCGCGAATTGCGAAAAGCGATTCGCCAAAAAATATTCGCAAAATTTGGACCTATTTCATACAGTCGCGAATTTTTAGGGACATTTCATTTTTGCTCCACTGAAAGTTACCAAAAAAAAATCATAACCTGAGATAAGTTAATTTGTTTTATACATATTTATTCGTGTTTACGATCTTTATTTTATATTTTATAGCATACAATATGAGTTTAAATTTGTTTAATAATTATGAATATCGATTATGATTGTGGGATTGGAATAGAATAAGGTGTAAAATTGCCATTTACTTATTGTTAAAACGTAGAAGAGAATGGGTTTATAGCACAGGTTTATAGGTCATTTATGGGCCATTTGGGACATGTGAAATATTCAAATTTCGTAAGCAACAAGGTGCTTGTCGCAGTTTAATTCAAAAAATAAGGAAGAAAAATGAGAAAAAATTTAGGAATTTTCACAGATTGTCTGTATAGGAGTTTGATAACTTGGTTGAAGTTGAAAAATTGTCGCCATATATATCAAAAACATATTATGTACGAGAACCCATTTCAACTGGAGAAATGCTTTCAGTTACTTTGCGGCAGCGTCGTCAAAATAATCGATAACCGGATCACAACACCATTCTGCGCAAACGCGTACCTTAAAATCGCGCGAATATTCGCAAAAAGTTGAAAACACTTTAACTTTCCCGCCCCCCAAATTTTAAATCTTGCGAATCGCCAAAATCTTAAAATTTCTGACAGCGCCGCCATGATCAGTAAAATTGGACCAATGAGAGCAGTTTCGCAAAATCGCAATTCGCGATTCGCGTCTATATGAAACAAGCTTTAGTCTTTTTCGATAAATCGCGATAGTGTCACCACAGATTATACAGATTATAATCTTTGTTTTTTCTTTATTGTTTTTCGTGGTTCCAATTTTCGGAATCGGGCACTAGTTAGGTGACTAGTTTGCGCACATAGCACGCCCACTTATGGCCTCTAAAATTGTGCACAGCGCCTGACCGGCACAGTTATTAGAGAGATATCGGAAAACCGAATAGCGTCATCCAGTATTTACGCGTACCTTATCATGGTTACGATATGCGCGAGTCAACGCAACACCCGCTAATAACGTTACCGCCTGACGTAAAAATTGCTTAAATGGGCATGTGCGGGTATTTGACAACCGGAGCAGGCCGGCGAGATCTTTTATTTTAGGTTTTGTTTGAATTGTTTTGAATTATTGCTTTAGTTTTATTAGGTAATTTGCTATTTAAGTAGCTGGGATTAGTTTTAATTAAATAAATATGGCCCAAAATATGGATTCCACCTCTTCCAATACTAAAGAACCTATAAAGGGTCTTAGGTTTACAGCAGATGACGACTTAGCCCTTCTAAGAGAATTTGTTGCTTGTTGTCCTAAACCCATTGGCAGACGTTAAACAATAAAGCACTGGAAATAAGCACTTTAGCCCTTTAGTTTTAAAATACCTAGTAAACAAAACAATTTCAAAGTTTTAAATTCAAAGTTAGGTTAAGTTTAAATAGCGGACGCGACGCGATCAGAATTCTTTCCGATCCGATAACTAAAAATGAAGAGAGTTAATATCACCTCACGTAAAGGAAATAACACCTGGCCTTATTAACGTCCATGCACGCTATTCGGTTTAGCGATATCTCTCTATTACGCTGTTTATTGTTATTTTACGCGAGTTTATTTTTGCGCACAGGAAATTTGACTCGTTTGCACATCGTCATAAAAAACAATTTTCGTACCACGAATTAGGGACAAGATTTTTATCTGTATACTTATAGGATACCTAATCTGTGGTGTCACTGTTAATTTAAGTTCTGTCACACAATTTCCATCTAGATTTACTACCTTTATACAACTATCAGTAGTAGAATAAATAATAAATAACATAAAATAAGCTCCGTAGACAAATCCACAAAATTTCAAATCAAAGTCAAATGTGTCAAATGAATCGTCAAACAGAACTGTCAAGGATCCCCACCCTAGAGTCCTTTTTCCGCCCACCATGCATGAATACATGGATAGCATTATGCTCCTTCCTTAGTCTTCTTATTTAAAGGGTTTAACGCAGAAGTGTTTACAAAAAATATCTATTTTATTTTGTAGATTTTCTTGCAGTGCAGTTGCGAAATACCCATAAAGGATTTTTTTGGAGAGATGAATCCGCCACATAGGTATAGTACATTTTTCACTCTTTTTTGCTACATAATATATACCCGATTTATTTATGCTTATAGTTGGTGGTAAGTCCGACTCAGACTTTGGTATATAACATCCTGTATCATGATCAATTTTAGGCTGATTTCTGGTACATTTAACATTTGATAGAATAGTATTTGGCAGTTTTTCTTTAGGTGGATCAGAATCTTTCGTTACTGCTTCGGACTTCGACTCATTATTGTAATTAAAATCTTGGTCTAAGCTGGTTAAATCACTTCCTGGAGCAATACCATCACAAAACATGACTGATTTATTAGATTTTTTGTTTGACCCTATAAGACACGTTAAGTTATATATATCAACACAATGTCAGTCAATATCAACAAAATGTCAGTCACCTTTCCTTTTAAGAACGCCAACCGGAACCATAACTGTAGGTGGGTTTGTTAAAGCTTGTCCAACTTGTTGTAGAGGTGACACTGTAGAGCAATATTCTTGTGGGTTATTAGGATTTGGACGAAATACGCGTGAATTACCTGACTCTGGTGAATTATGACTAGAACTCGACGAACTACTTGAATCTCTGGAAGAACACAAGTTGAAACCCCTGTTTTTTGTATCTACAATATAAACTTACTTATTTAGTACTTCAAAACACTTATTACAAACGCGAGCTTCGGTATCCAGATATTCCAAGCGAAATTTCAAATTGCAACATTTTGAACAAAGAACCTAAATATACAGAAAGAGTAAATAAAAACTATATTTAAAATACCTTAGACTTACCAATCCGCAAGCTCTACAGTGATGTCTTCTTTTGAGGACAGTAAATTTCATATCACAATGCAAACAAGTAAGGGCATCAGAGTCCGGTATCCAAAGAGGTGCTTCTTTGCCTAACCATGACTTATCTAGGAATAAATATAATGTTACATTTTACCTAACTTGCTTTACAGTGAAATTAAAATGTTATGCTGAAGAGATTTGATTTAGGAAATTAATCCCCAAAATTTTGTGCAGTATATTTTTTTGCATATTTTGTATCAAATGCATTTGGACGCTGCGCGCGTTTGTCTTGGACGCTGCTTGGAACTGATTTAATCGGTTGATTCGATCCAAGTGTCCAAGTGAGACACGCGCAGCGTCTAAGTATATTTGATCCAAGTACACTTTGTATCAACTAGGCTTTAGACAGATCTTAATATGTAGAGAATATGTCTAAAAACCATGTTTTATAGTTAATTACTTCTTATTTAATCCCTTTTCCCTCTTTCAATAAGCTACAAATATTTATTATCAGTATACCTAAAAAGTTATGTCCAGTCATAGTATCACCTCCACCACCTGATGTACCACCACCCTCTCCACCGCCTGACTCTGTAGTATTGTTGGAATTCTCTTCTGAAGTAACAGCAGGTGTATTTGTAGTATCATTATTAGATTCAACATTTGTCTGAATATCATCTAAAATGATATAGCATTTTGTCTTAAATTTTACATTCCCAGAAAAACTTTAGTACCGTACCAGGTGTCCCACTAAAAATAGCTCTCGGCTGTATCTCGGAAAGTATTAGCCGTAGGGCTTAAGGAAAAAAATATTTACAATTAAAGGGGCTATGAGAAATTGCAGGAATTATTTTCAAATTTGTAAAACGGCCGCTAGGTGGCGCAACTGCTATGGAAAATAAGAAAATAGATTTTTTACAGAATTTTGCCTAGATAATGGGTACTATAAATAATAGCTTCATAATCTTCAGTAAATTTTGGATTTTTTTTGTTAGAACCATTTTCCCCTATCTGCTAAAATAAAGTGGTGGGGGGAGGTTAGATTTATCTTTATTTAAACGTTAATAACTCCGGACTGTTTCTTACTCTAAATTATACCATAAAAATAATAATAATAAGGTTTTGAACGTAGACGCTAGGGGGCGCTTTCTTACAATTTAACAAACATAGCGCGTTTTTTCAAAAAAATTAAATACGATAGTATGTGTTATTTTAGCTGATAGTAAAGAGTAGTAAAAGCTTAAAAAGTCAGCGAAAACCGCATCTTGATATCTTCTTTCAAACCGAAGATATTAGCAAAATTATAATAAATACCAAAAAATAAGCCCTTAATTACCTTATTTTTACAACGCGGTATCAGTAGCCCTCTTGACTTAACTTATGGCTTTAACAAAAAATATTCAAAATTTACTGAAGATTATGAAGCTGTTACTTATAGTACACCTTATCTAGGCAAATTTGTGTAAAAACTTCATTTTCTTATTTTTTGTTGCAGTTGCGCCCACTAGCGGTCGTTCTACAAACTTGAAAATAATTTCCAGCAATTTCCCATAGCCTCTTTAGTTATAAATATTTTTTTCCGCAGCCGCTACGGCTAATACTTTCCGAGATACAGCCGAGAGCTATTCTTAGTGGGACACCCTGTACTTAAATGAAATTCCGAAGACCCTGTATATATGTTCAAAAATAATTATACATACCTTTCACATTGTTAAACTTTGCTGCATTTTTATCTTCTGGAAAGTTCTGAAATGTATTATTTAAATTTTCCAAATTACTTTCCTTCTCTTTATTTTCATCATCTACAGAGACTGTACTAGCTGTAGAAGTGCTATCACCACTACAATCTGAAAATGTTGGACTTGCAGATGTGCTATAATCAGAATCATTTTCTTTTGACTCAGCTGCTCCATCCTTTGATTCAATTGTTTCATTAATGTATACATTATTGTATGGTGTTGAACCTGGATTTCCTGCAGTAATTAAACTTTTTGACTTATATTACCTCAAGTTGTGTTAGACATATTAATTTTTTAAACAATAAAATAAGAAATAAAATAGAAAATTTTTATTGAGATATATGACGTGAAAATATATAAGTAAGTAGTAGGTATTGTTTTTATTATAAAATTTTGCAATTTTTTTCTCTATATTTTTTCATTTTCATACCAATTAGATCAATTTTTCTTCCAGAGTTACTTCCATTTTCTTTCACCTCATTACTAAGAAGTAAGTTTTGAGGCCTTGTTAAAGAATCCTGTGAATAATTTTTCTTTAGTGGTGACATACATTTATTCTGAATAGATACATCACATTTTTCACTCATATCAATTGATTCCTGATTATTATTTAAATTCTCATCTTCAATTTGTACATTAGATGCATCTTCAACTTTAATTTGTTCACTAGTTTCAATAACATTTTCTCTAATCTGCATAGTATTATTATGTTCATTTAAACATTTACTAAGATCGCTACCATCCATTTCTAAAAAATATAATACTAAATACCCTAAATATACTAAAATTAATTTTTTAATTTTATACAATATATAGAGGTATAACATAAAAAGTTACCTTGATCAATATTTACATCATTTATAGTACTACTCTCTTTTGCAATTTTACTTTCAAAATTAGTTTCTTTTCCTTCAACTAAAATCTCTGTATTCATTAACGAAGAATCAACATTTTCTGTAACTTCTTGTTCAAAGTTATTCAGTAATTCATTAAATTCTTGTTCCTCAATGTCAATATCAGTAGAAAATCCAACAATCTTTGTTTTATTCTTGGGTTGTTCACAATTATTAGAAGCTTGACTTTCTATAACCTGGTCTGTGACTACATTATTTGTACCATAAAGGTCTGACCTCTCAGATTGTATTTTTTCAGATAAAATATTTTTTTGACTATCAGTATCTTCTTCAAATACACAATTAGGATTTTCATGTTTTAATTCCAATAAATCTAAACTAATAGATGGTTCTATAACATACTCCTCAATATTTTCTTGTCCAACATCATTCTTAATTAACGTTTTACTGTTAGTCTCTTCTGTATTATTACTAACAAAGTCATCTGTAGTTTTAGATGGTCTTTGCTCAGCATGATCATCGAGTTCTCTGTTTTCTTCCAAATTAATATCAGATTTAATATCTGAAGACACACCAAGTTCATCAGTCTCTTCAAAATCTGTATAAGGCTTACTAGTAATTTCATTAACAGAATGAACAGTTATATTAGAAGTTCCTACTTCCTCATGTTCATCTTTTAAATAAATTTTATTGTCTGTTGAATTTACATCTTTATTTGTTTCTTCTGATATCAAAGGTGAAGCACAGTAGCTACTATTATTTGACAGATCTTCATTTTCCAAAAGTCTTTTATCTTGACTGACATTTGGTGAAGTAACAATAGTAGTTAAACATTCTTGAACTTGTTCCTTATCTTTAGAAATACCCGCCTTATTAATTGAGGTATTGTCTATATTTTCAAGGTTTTCATCACTTTCCACAACTTGTTTTTGCTCATTCTTTTGGTTAATATTGGTGGTCAGATACTCATTAAGGCTATGAAAAACATTGTGAATACTGTGTTTTGTTATTATTGGAGAAGAACCTAACGTAGAATTATTATTAGATTCGTTAGAAACATTTCTTGTATGGTGATCGGTTAACTCTAAATACTCAAAGTCGTTTAAAACCTGATCTAAATCAATTGTATATTTATCCATCTGAAAATATAAAGTGCCAAAGTTGTAAAAAATTAATCTATTACAAATACGTTAACATTACCTCTAATATGTATCATTTCTTATAACTTTGGAAATGTTTTACACAACACTTAATTTTGCTACAAAACATTGAGTTATAATAAAGGTTTGAATATAATATTATAACCAGCGTTGTTACAAGGGCAAAAATTTTTGTACTGTAAATGGTGTCGAAATTGTACTTTTTTAAGTGGGATTGTACATTTTTGGTGCAAAAATGTGGGGTCGTGTGATCTCTCTATTTACCTTTTTACCAAGTTTTGGTACGTAGGGTGCATCACACTCAGGGGGGTGACAGTGAACAGGAAAATTGGAAACAGTATTAGTGTCATTCCTGTCATTCTCCTCACGACAAGTATGGCCGCCTAGACAAGGACAGCATTGTTTTTGTCTAACTATTGTCTAACTTCACAGTTTAGAATTGACAGATTTCAGTTTCAGAGACAACTTCAGATTTGTTCTAGAACAAATTCGAAAATTGTGTCGAAAATATTCGACGCCATTTTAATTCATTCCGTTTAGTTTCGTTTTGGAAGTTCAATTTAATATTTCGGCTGAAATTTATAATTATAAAGGTAATAAAGTATATAAAATATATATTACATGAAGAATCCTGGAGAAAATGACGTTTCTGCCGTAGTAGGTATGTCCCATGTATATGAAAAATAGGTAGTAAATAAACACTGTTTTTACATTTTTTAGATGCAAGAAAATGGTGTTATAATCTCTTTGATCGGCGATTTTTTTGAAAATGGAAACAATTTACAGCAAGGTAAGATCATTTTTAACTATAGCCAACATCATTTATCTCCAATATGTGCGATTTATTGTCAATAATGCAATAAATCGGACTGATAATCTGATTATGTTATCCGACTAAAAGTCTCTTTTTGCTTCTTTTTGATTTATAAGCCAGGTCTCTTTGGGAATAATGGACGCTTTTTTAAACAGTATATTTATATTTTATACCTATTGATATTTTTAGATTGTTAATTTTAGTATAAAAAAATTTGTTTTTCTGTTTTCAGGTTTTTGTATAAGGCTCCCGTTTTCATGTCCCTGTGTCCGTTTTCTGTCCTTGAAGTCTGCGAATACGTGTGTTTATTTACAAATTACTGTAAGTCATGCTTATACCTTAACTAATTTACGTTAAAAGTACATATAATTAACTAATTGGTATTGAAACAATACAATCCTCTATATTTTTATGTTTATTTAGTCACGTTGTTCCATACTTCAAATAAATATATGTGAATAAATTATTTTTTGGTTTTATTTATGAAAAGAAAAAATACAAAATACATTTGAACTGAAAGAGGGCCCGCCATTGAATAACCGGAAACGGAAATGAAAATTAAGCCATCATGTCCTTATCATGTCAACCTGTCAATTGGAAAGTTAGTTCTCCAGACGACAACGAAGGCTTTCGGTGGCGTATCGTGTTTCCACGATTTAACACAGAGTTGACACTTCTTTCTAGTTAATTATTTTATGTCCACACTATCATAAAAACAGCGGAACGGCGTATTGACTTAGTAGAATTGCTGGAAATCGATTCAAGGTCGTTACGCCGATACACCGCCGCCGATCCGCTTTTTTTAGGATAATGTGGATGCACCCTCACAGAATTATACACCATATGCTGTCCTCCTTTCACGCAGTTGAGCAGCTCTGAACTGTTCAAGAACGCGATACTCTCCCTCCATTCAATTGAGTCATAAAGTTCAGAACTGGTTCCGCGCCATATGGAGGCACCAGGCTATCTCGCACAGCTCCTTTCAGAACCGTTCTGAGCAGCCCAGGGCGTAAAGATCTGGAACTTGAAATTCGCAAATGGAGGACAGCAATACAGAAGCTACAAAGAGCTTTTAATAGCATTGGTTAAATGGGAACTAATTGCGTGACGTCACGTTTGACCTCGGGACACAATAGATCTCTAAGGTCGCAGTGATTAGCCCCCCTCCTACTCACCGCATGGATATCAAACTTACGTTTGACATCCGTGCGGCTTGAACAGCATTTCAAGAGATGTATAATTCTGTGCCTCTGCTCCTAGCGACCTGCATTTCAAATCCACGCAACGCGTATCACCGTTCGTCTAAAAATATGTACGTGGGTTTAAGTTTGGGTTAGTTTGGGTTTGAGAAGTAAGAATTGTACATTTTTTCTTGCAATTGTACCTATGTACTCCTTGACTATCAAATGTACCCAAAATAGTACAATTGTACCTATTGTAACAACACTGATTATAACTCAATGCTACAAAACAAAGTTGTTTTGAGTATGGAGGGCTTTTAGACTCCATAGTTTTGAGTTTTGACTTTGACTGATTTTGACGTAATTTTTGACTTTTGACCCTTTTGACATTGACGCATAATATATTTGACCATAGAAAGCACAGATAGAAAGGATTAAGGGACAAAATAACCATAGCTCAATACTTTTACTTCCAAAATGATCCAAAGACAAAGACCCGGTACCGTTTTTTTTTCTGTGGTTCAATAGTCCGGCCAAAATAAAAATATGTGCGAAATCAACTATCAACTTATAACTTATTTCTTATCTAAAAAATCCGCCCATTGGTCACCTTTGGCTAAAGAAGAGCTAACTAACTTCTCTTAAAGTACGTCTACTGGATCTGTGTCTATGAAAGGAATGCGCACTCCACACTAGAACTCCACACTCCACTTCCACCCACTTATTACTACGTGCAAATTTGTCGAATCAGAGGTCGAATTTTATAGAAGTGTCTAGTCCTAGCAGTCAATTATTAAGCTTGACCAATCAGGTTGGTTAGCGTGGTTATTTGGAGTGTGTTAATTCATTTGTGTTTGTCAAAAACTCTAAAGCGGCCCTCACACGGTCAATAATATTGCCAATATTTTTTATTGTCAATGTTTTATCAATATTTGAAAGGTGGCCTGACACGGTCAATACATATATCAATATTAAGTTTTGTGCAGATATTAAGTGTGAATCATTTTGATATATGTAAGTGAGAAAAAATCGAGGAAAAAATTTATAAATGGCGTTGGATAAAAAAATAGATATCAAAGAAAAGGTTTGGCTAACTAAATCTTCTAGAGTACGTTAAGAAACAGAAGGCTATGATTGCGATCCCAAAACTGGTGAAAACAACGACGGCGATGTTCCGTCTCCGCCATGGTTACCAATAAACTAGTCAATTCTTGTCAATCATGCGACATAATGATCAATATATTGTCAATACGACTAGCTCCGCCTTTAATATTGTCGAGTATTTTCAGGGTCCCGAAAATCCATCAATATATTGAAAGTATTAAAATATGTACGCTCAAACGCTCAATAATATTGTCATTAATCCAAAATATTGACAATATTATTGATCGTGTGAGGGCCGCTTAACGTGATTGGTCGGGCTTAACAGTTGTCTGCTAGGGCTAGCCACAAGTGAATTTTATTGATGGGACGCGTCGTTTAATTTTTTACGAGAAACATCGATAGAATATCGTTTCCCCCTTTTTCCCACCATACGGATGCACCGTAGCCAAAGAGTAGATAAGACAAGAGACGACAGATCGCGCGGTACGCGGTACCCAGCGGTACCTTTCATGTTTGAGTGGTGGGGAGAGTGACCTCGTCTCGCTTGTCCCTTTAAATTTTCGTAATTTTTTCGCGGGAAATTTGAAATAGACTATTATTAAAAACTTTATCTATTTTTGCCGTAGCTACAGTACGGATAGACCAGATATAGAAGGGATACAAACCAAACCAAACCAAACCACTTCCATATCTCTGGGATAGACGGACTGTCTGGACTGTATCTCCTCTTCTCTTTGCTTTCGCCATAGGCTTTTGCTAAGCTGTTTATTTCTGTTATAGGATTGCCTTTTCTTTTGATCTGCTATTCTGTACTGTGGTTCTGTGTGGGTTCTGTATTGTGGGGTTTTGAAAGATGTCCAGTATTTTGAGAATAAAAAATATTGATGTTTTTTATTCCATTTATAAAAGAATAATCATAATTCATAATATATTTTTAAGATAAAACCCGCCTTAAATAAAAATAAGGATAAAATCTAAACCTAAAAAGGATAAAGTTAAAAACTTATCATTGAACATAAAAGCAGAATAAAAATGACAAAAATGCCAAATGATAGAAAAAATATAGTAAACCTTTGTTGTAAAGCTTTTTGTAAAGTGAATAACTTCATGCATAGCTACATTGTCTATTTCGTCTATTTTAACCGGACTACAGGCAAGCCCACGGCAAGCCGGCAAGCACAGCAGGCAAGGACTACAGAAAGTACAGAAACATTTTGGTCCTTAGACTAGGAAAGAGAGGGGACAGGTAACACGGCAGCTGAAAGTGAGGCAAGTTGTCACCAGTCGAAATTCTCCAATGGCGTAGCATCAGAAATTAGCTTGTAGCTAGACGGTACAAAATATTTATTAAAACGTAAACTAATATATCGTTCATCTTTGAGTAATGCATATACAATTTTGTATTTTATAGGCTCACCTTTATAATATTAGAATATCTAAGTCCATAATGCAAAATTTATTTAACAGTCACAGTGAACTGATTATCAAGACAATTATTTAATTATTAACGTGTGTATAATGTATAATTAAATAAAAAATAATGTAATAACATATGTTTTAAACGTGTATATACATATATACTGTATGATCGAAAAAAACGGCGTCTTGTTTGTTTGGAAATGACAATTTCACAAATGAATATTAAAAATTACATTATTCATTGAATCCGTAAGCAAGTGTGAAGGGAATTGAGTAGATTCATTATTATACCGTATAATCGAAAAAAAACGACGTCCAGTTGGCTTGTAAATTACGATCGATGATATTCCCCATATAATTCTACATATAAAATGAAATAAAAACTATACAAAACGACATCGAAAAAAGACGGCGTCAGCGATAGCTATGAAATGAAGATCGCTGTCATTTTATATGTAAAATTATATGGGGAATGTCGTCGATCGTCATTTACAAGCCAACTGGACGTCGTTTTTTTCGACCATACGGTATAATAATGAATCTAGTCATTCCCCTTCACAATTGCGTACGGATTCAATGAATAATGTAATTTTTAATATTTGTTACCTTCAATCATAAGAATATCCTAATTTTCCACAAAAAAATAAACAATTCTAGAAGCTTTGTGTTATTTTATTTATTTTTAAATTTTTATTAATTACTCATTGAGACTATTATTATACACCTAAATTTGCAAATTTTTTGAAAGAATATTTAAAAAAATATATGTAGTAACAAGTAGCCCACCACAAGTTTGTCCACCCCCAGCAAATGTTGGCATGTAAATTTAAGTTTTATATAACAACTATACATATAGATTTTTTATCACTAGAATTTTTAATTTTTTTTTATAGTTTACAATTATTTTTCATATTTGATAACAATACTTTATACATTTTTTTACATGTAAAATATATAAAAAAAGTTTATTGCAGAAATTGTATTTCTCTGATTATAATTCCCTACGCCACTGGAGAAATCCATGCTGAGTAGCATTATTTATAGTTTCAAACATTATTATAATAAAGGATATTGAAAATACTACTTGGAATTATTAAAAATAGTTTGGTTTGGATGTGGTACAAAACATATTAAAAGCATTTTCCATATTTTTACTGCTATAATGAAAAAATGTACATTTTATGACCACATAACAAAAGTTGTGTATCGATTTTTACCTGTGAAATGTAATTCCAGCCACTTTTTTCTCGCTCCGGCCTTTGCAGCCATATGCTGAACATCTCACCATACTAAACAATACACTTTATAAATTTAAAATAAAACAGTTGTCACAAAAAACATAAGAATTCTCTCGGTGTCACCTCGAAATCTTGTCACCAAAGTATGGTCGCCGATCGAATTTTGGCCTCACTAACCGATCACGGGAGAATATGCGTGTTAGCCGTCCCCTCTTTTTCCAAGTTTTGGTCACATGACATATTTGTTTTATTTTGATGAGTTGTCATCAGTTGTCATTTAATGTCAAAATTTTATCTAACCTCTTTTTCATTTCCATAAAATTTACAGCCTTCAAAATAGGTTTCTTTGGAGTATTAAAACACTTTTTGTTACCAAAAAGGATGGAGGATTATGAAGAAATTAAGAAACTCCTGGAGGAAAATAATCAAGCTCATGTACTTAAATACTGGAACGAATTGTCAGAGGAACAACAAAAGGAGTTTCTACTACATTTAAAAAGTTTTAATTTCAAAGATGCCTGCATGCTGTGGGATAAAATACAAGAGAATGAAAAAACTGATAAAGAAGATAATAATGATATTCTTCCTGTAGAAGCACAGGTACTTTCCCAAAGCTTTATTATTATTTTTTAAAGTAGTGTTTTAGGTAGAAAAAGATTTTTCAAATGATGATATCGAAGAATACAGAACAGTAGGGTTGGAAGAAATAGGTAACGGTAAAGTTGCAGTCATAGTGTTAGCTGGAGGACAAGGTACAAGATTGGGAATGTCTTATCCAAAAGGAATGTGCCCAACCGGTATTCCCTCAGGTTAATAATGACTTTTATTTTACTTTAGAAATTTTACATTTAGAATTGTAGGGAAAACGCTTTTTCAGTTGCAAGCTGAAAGAATATTAAGACTTCAAGAAATAGTTAAAGAAAGAATAGGTAGGTATATGCTTAGGTTTCAATTTGTTCTATAAACAAATATTATAAGTTACTTTTTGTTGCAGGTAAAGAAAGTATTATTTATTGGTATTTTATGACAAGTGAACCCACACATATGTTAACTGAAAAATTCTTAGAACAGAATCAGTATTTTAAGCTAAAAAAAGAAAATGTAAAATTATTTAAGCAAGGTTTAGTTCCTTGCTTTGATATGGAAGGAAAATTTATATTAGAAGAAAAAGATGGCATTGCATTGTCTCCTGATGGTATGTCACTTCATCTGCCTAATGATTTCATATATAACATTATTTATAGGTAATGGTGGATTATATAAAGCGTTAAAACAACATGGTATCTTGGATGATATGGATGAAAAAGGAATTAAATTTGTTCATGTTCATAGTGTAGATAATATTTTAATAAAAGTAGCTGATCCAGTGTTTATTGGCAAATGTATAAAAGATAAAGTAGATTGTGGTATGTCATTGTAACAAATACTTAAAACTATATGGTAACAAATAATTTTGTTTTAGGATTTAAAGTAATAAAAAAAATTGATCCTAATGAGCCTCTAGGAGTGGTTGTAAGAGTAAATAATAAACTAAAGGTTGTGGAATATAGTGAACTACCAATTAATATGGCAACTTTAGAACATCCTTCTGGTAATGGTTTATTATTTAACAGTGGCAATATATGCAATCACTTTTTTACTGTTGATTTTCTAAAACTAATAGTTGATGAGCACGAGAAAGATTTAAAGGTCCACAGAGCAAATAAAATAATAACACAAATTGGCCCTGATGGTGATAAAATAAGGCCAATACAGCCAAATTGTATAAAAGTGGAAAAATTTATATTTGATGTCATAAGTTACAGTCAGAATTTTTTGGCATGGCAGACAGAGAGAGTAGAGGAATTCTCCCCTATAAAAAATAGTGATTTATCTAAGAAAGACTGTTTTAATACAGCTAAAATAGACTTGTTATCGTTACACAAATCCTGGGTAGAAAAGAAAGGAGGCATATGTAAAGGAATAGGATTGGAAGTTTCGCCATTGGCATCATATGGGGGTGAAGGACTTGAGTTTGTTAAAGGAAAGGAATTCTGTGAAGAAGATGTTATTTTTAGCAAAGCAGAGAAACAAAATAGTTAAGACTACTTAAAAGTATTAAATTAATTCCTTTTTTTGAAGTATTTTTTACAAAATCAAATTTTGTTATTAATTTATTTTCTTTGAGTATGTATATATATATTGTTTTATTAATAAATTTTTAAGAATATGGGTACTTAAATTTTTCTCTTTTTTTAAGATAAGTGAAGAGTATATACTCTCAAGTTATGAGAGTATATTAGTTATTTATTGTGATATATGAAATTAAATGAAATAAAAAATATTTTGCCATTCCAGAGGCGATTCTAGGAAATAAGACAAATATATATTTTTGTATACATATTTTTTATTATCTTCTGAATTTTGTACATAAAGCCTTACTCTACTTTTGTAAGATAAGAAATATTTCTCACTTTTCTTTTCACAAATATCACTTGCTAATATATAATTTTATATTTTGTGCCCCTAAAACTGGGCTTGCATTGATCAAAAATCTCACTGAAGAGCAAGTTTGAAAGAAAAAACAGTCGAAAATTTATATCTTGGCAAGTAATTATTGTGTGATCTTTTAAAAGTAGCTTTAAGTTTAAATATATTGCATTTAAGGATAATATAAATACATCTAAATTATTGTTTAGAATATGAGATAATTTTTATTAAGGGAAATACCTATATTCGTTTTCCTGTAGGACAATATTTTGTACTTGTAGCTTTCTACACTTAAATATCTACTTGTTCACTTTCATATTTATATCTTTTAAAAAATTAAAGAACTTACTTTTCAGAAAGCTACAAAATCAAATACTAATTGTGTCACTTGAACATATATTATAAGAATATCCTCTTTTGACAGTAAATTTATTTCATTATTAGATATTTACTTTCTAAAATGTCTATTTCATTCTATATGTCATTAGTTTAATTCAATCTACTCATTTTTGCACCAAAATATGTTTTGAACACTGTTTTTATTCCTAAAGTATGCCCCCAAAATTATTGTGTTTTCTCGTTTTGGAGCATATTTTGGAGATTCTATCACAAAAAATTTGGCTATCGCGGACACATTCTTCTATACCATTACCTTTTCCTTAAAGTGAATATTATAGTAATCCCAATATAGCTTCTTCATATTGTATTTTTCTAGTTTTTTAAACGGCCAAACTTTTACGAATATTAATATTATGTACTATATGATCGAAAAAAAAACGGCGTCAGCGATGGCTATGATATGAAGATTGCTGTCATTTTATATGTAAAATTATATGGGGAATGGCAACGATCGTCATTTCCAAGCCAACTGGACGCCGTTTTTTTTTCGATCATACGGTATATACTTGTTTTATCTCTTAAAATGTTTTTTATTATATTATCTTGTAATTACATTAAAGATCATTTTTTAACACACATAAAACTGTTTATTTTGTTGAACTAATATTTATTCAGATAGTCTTATGTGTAATTTATTTGTATTGTCAATCTATTCAAGTACCGCAATAAAAATACATTTTAACTCGTCATTCGCCACTCACCTAATATTACTTTTTTTACAGGATGTCCCAGAAATAAGTGCAAGTATTTTAAGGGCTGGTAGATCTCGATAAAAGAAACATATTTTCCCTTTATCGTTTTTCAAATAAGTTCAAAATAGCGAAGTTAAATGATTTTTTGCTAAAATTTTGAGAACCACCACTGGATCTTTTCTGGATTTTCTTTCTTGTAAATTTAATCTAATACCTATGTTGCCTTGCATATTATCAAGAAATTATGATTTTTAACTAAAGACTAAAAAAATTCCAAAATATAAAACCTCTTAGGCGTGTTTCTGGGGTTGAACTATACTACCAATTAAAATACTTGCATTTATTTCTGGGACACCCTGTATATGTGATAAATCTGATAAGATCTGAAGTTATATTATTTATCATATCTGATAGTATACGCGGTGTCCCAATAATATTCCGTGGACATAGAACTATTACGTATTTTTGGAATCAAAATAAGTTTATTGGGCACAATTTACCTCTACAGAAAAGTTTATTGTTTGTCCGTTAGAGGGCATCAAATAAAAAAAAAACATATTTTCAGATATTTTAAGAACCATTATCCCAATTTGAATGATTTTAGGTGTGTTTTGCTAAGTGCTTTAACATTTGATTTTCACAAAAATCAAGAAAAAGTACGGGAAGGGTGAAAAGTACCCCCACCCCTACATAAATTTTAGCATAAATATTTTCCAACTCAACTGACGACACCGATTTTTCTTCGTAATGGTCCTTCTAGTATTTACTACATTTTTTGTCTCTTTTAAAAAAATGCCACCGTGCATACTTTTTGAGGAAAGAAAATATTTTTCCGAAGCTGTTTTCCAAAAAAAAAAATTTTTTGTCACATCAAGCTATGGAGGCAAATAAAATCTACTACGCAGGAACAATCGAGTTGGCGAAAATATTAAATTTTATGTTATTACCACAAATTACATTTGACAATAAACTTCATAAAAAGCTTAAAAAATTAATAAATTTTAAATTAATTAACGTTCGGGTTTAATTTTATTGATATCCTCTAACGGACAAACGAAGCACTTTTGTATAATGGTAAATTGTGTTCAATTAACTTATTTTTATTCAAATAACACGTACTTGTTCCATATCCACGGAATATTGGAACTCTCTGTATATTTTATAGGTCTGCTTTGGAAAAATAAATCTCCAAAAAAGTTTTTCTCAAAAACTATACGATGTGGCGTTTTTATAAGAGTCAAAAAATGTAGCAAATACTAGAAGGACCATTTTACGAAAAAAAAATCGGTCGTCGGTTGAGTTGGAAAATATTTACAGTATCGGACAAAATTAGAGCAACTATAGAAAAATGTGAATTTAACTCCCATCATTTATTTGAATAGGTTTATTTATTTTTGCAATGGAATGTTTCTTTTAACTAAAACATTTCGATTATTTGTTGACTTAAATGTATTCCTTATCGGTAATTTTGCATTTTTTCAAATATGTTGATGAAATTCTTGGACAAAATTAGAGCAACTTGATCTTTACGCAGTGTTAGTTTTCTGAGTGTTGATACAAGTAACCATTTTGCTCTGTAGAATGCCTCGGGGTATACATTATTCAATTGACTTGAAACAACGCATCGTTGACGCCTACAAAGGTGGCATGTCGCAGGCAGACATATCAACAAGGTTTTTGGTCAAAAAAGATATTGTTTCGAAGACAATTAAAAATTTCCGGAATCGCGGTCGTGTAGTTAATTTAAAACGAGGTGGCCGACATAGAAAAACCGACAAACATTTTGATCGTCGCATTAAACGGTTGGTTCAAAGGGAGCCGAAAATGTCAGCTCAACAAGTATTGGCCAATTTGGGGGAACCAGAGGTTTCTTCCAGGACCATTCAGCGACGCCTAGTTGAAGCTGGTCTCAAGGCTAGAAGACCTGCTAAGAAACCGTTATTGTCAAAGAAAAACCGGGATGCGAGACTACTGTTCGCTACCTTTCATCGTCAGTGAACCGCCCGAGAGTGGAAGAAGGTGCTGTTCTCAGACGAATCAAAATTTTGCATTTTTGGGAGTGATGGTGCTAGATGGGTACGTCGTCCAGAAGGCAAAAGGCTACACCCAAAATACGTAAATCCCTCGGTTAAACGTGGAGGAGGAAATATAATGGTTTGGGCATCGACGTGACCAGACATTTTAAAAAGGGGGGGCCAAAGTTAAAGATTATGAACCGGAGAAAAAAATAGCGCGAAATTTTTTTTATACGAGCGTGCGCAAAGTAACATTTCCCGCACGCAGAAAATTGATTTTCCCGGTTTTCCAAGGGTTTTTTTTGTGGGTTTTCGTTTGAGGTCTTTTTTCATCTATTATTTAGTCTGATTAGGGGGGGGCCATGCCCCCCCCCCCCCTTGGGCACGCCTATGGGTTTGGGGTTGTTTCTCTTCCTACGGTATGGGTCCATTATACAAAATATGTGGAAAATGGACCGATTTGTATACCGCAATATTCTTGAAAATGTTATGTGGCCTTATGCAAAATGGGAAATGCCACCTTAAATTCATATACCAACATGACAATGATCCAAAACACACAGCGAAAATTGTTAAACAGTGGTTTAATGATAATAATGTTCGAGTCTTAAAGTGGCCCCCACAATCACCTGACCTCAACCCCATTGAAAATTTGTGGGAAATAGTAGAAAAGAAGATTCGTTCAAAAAATATCTCAAATTGTGATAGTTTGTATCAAGAAATTGAAAATGCTTGGATGTCAATGGATGCTGACGTCATTTCAAATTTAATTGATTCAATGCTCAAGAGGTGTGAAGCTGTGATAGCAAATAAAGGGTACTGGACAAAATATTGATAATGCGGCCTTTTTGATACTTAAATTTAGTTTGTATTCTTAATAGCATGGAAAAAAATAAAAGTTGCTTTAATTTTGTCGCAGTAAAAAAAAAAGGATTATTGGAATTTATTATTTTTTTAAAGAAACAATAGGAAATAAAGATTTGTTAGTATTTTCTTGTTTCATTTGTAAATCGTGTTTTAGAGTAGTAGTTTCAAATTCATATTACAAAATAATTTGCCTTAAGTGGAAAAAATCATAAAGTTGCTCTAATTTTGTCCGATACTGTATATTAAAATTTATGCAAGCGTGGGGTATATAGTTTTCTCCCTTCCCGTGCTTTTTCTTGATTTTTGTGAAAGTCAAATGTCAAAGCACTTAGCAAAACATCCAGAATCTCATTCAAGTCGGAATAACGGTTCTTAAAATATCTGAAAAAATGTGTTTATTTTCTTAAAGTTTGATGTGTTCTAGTGGACAAACGAAGCACTTTTATATAGAGGTAAATTGCGAACTTATTTTGATTCAAAAAATACGTAGTAGTTCATAAATGTGTAAATACTATATCACAGTTGACGTTAGGTGTGAATATGAATTTATCGATACGCTCAAACCTTTGGCTCAAACGTTCAATACACCGGGTGGAAATGAAATCGTAGCACCTATCGCGCCATTCCGTATGTAATTATTCTTTCAAAATACTATAATTCATCATTCACATTTACCATTAGAATATAATTTTGATCCTTTCAGATTAAAATAGCTTGAAAATGGGCCCAAGCGTAGAATTTTAAATGACTACGCTGAATATTTAATGTAATTA